TTATTAGTTTTATCATTTTTGATCAGTTGTGAGCAAATGACTTCAATAGATGAAAATTCATTTTCATTGGTTTAAGTCTTCCTTCACTGTACTTTTTGTCTTCAAGTTGGAAATTCCCTTTTCCTCATTCTTTCTAGATTTATTCCTTACTCTTTCCCTGATGATGTTACTCACCCAAAACACAAAACAAAAAGATTTTATGGAATGTTCTTATCCTGTTTACTAATTTCTACTTATCACATAGTTGAACCAATATGCTATTATTGCTCCCTTCTCAGTTGGGTTTTATACCTCCCTCCAATTGTGAAAGGAGAATTTCTGTCTCAAATTGAACAATTTAATATCATCAAGCCAATAGTGGGGGTTGGGGTTATCTTCTTTGGCAAAGAGCCCTATCTGTGGATGCTGACAAGGTTGGTCCTGATGGGATTTGTAGGACTCCTTTCCTCTCCCACCCCAACCTAGCAGGAGACTATGGCTTAGCAATGGGCCACAGGCTCCTGCAGGTGTGGGACCCAAGATCCCCAATTAAGGATGCTAGCTGTCTTTATATTACTCATTCATTCAAATACAAAAAGTCTACTATGTAGCTACTAAACACAATGCTCTTTTCTCAAATTTCAGATCAAATAATAGAGATCTTTATTAGCTACTTTAAAAAGCATACAAGCTACCCTACATGCAAGGCATGTGCTATGTTCAATATAGGATGAGGGATTAAACATAAAGGGTAATGTAGATAAGTTAAAATTGAAAAATACTACCATGGCCTTTTGTTATCTGTACATATAGGCTCAATTAGAAGATCTTCAAACAACATAGTATTATTTCAGGCAGAACATATTGCTCTTAATTTTTGAAAATTATTTCATATTAATTATATTAGATATAGGACCATCTTTAATCAGTTTATTTTTCTGGTGGAATAAATGAAATACAGATGCATGCATATAATGACATATTCTCTCACACATCTATTGGTACCTCTTCAGGAGATTGTGATGTATTATAAATGGAGAAAAGATAATTTCCAGGAAGAAAAGTAGAATAAAGTTTGCCCTATCCCCATCTTAGTGCTCTATTATGTTAACATAGTTTGAAGTCTGTGCCAAATCATTTTTCATTTAACGGTAGGGTTGAAACTGTACCAGTTGTTACTTGCTCCTGCTTAGATAAACAACTGTAGCAAGTACTGGAGTGTGGCTTACGCTGACCTCATCAGGAAACCATGTGTAGGTGGACTTCTTGGAAGCTTATGGTTCAAGGTCAAAAAAGTAAAAATTGTCCACATAATTCTCATAAACACAAAACAAACTGCTAAGTGCTATCTATCTCTTTCTCAGTCCTTTGCCCTGTTCCATTGCAGACTTAAGCTTTAATAGCAATAATGCCTTGATCATTAGTTTTTTATGGTATCTTAATGTCTTCTGGAATTTTGATGCAAGCAAATGCTTCCACTTCATAGCCAATCACACTTAGAATTTCTACTCAATATTCCAGACAAAGACTCACTTTAAAACATACTGAATGGCCAGTATATGCTACAGTCTTGCTGGACAGTGGAGACAGTGAAAATAAATTCAACATGGTTCTTCCTTTAAGGAATGTAGCAGGCAAATGGACAAGAAATAAAAATAATATGAAAAAATTTTTAAAGAATGCTGAGCAAATGGCAATGGGCAAACAAGATATGAAGTATCTATGGGGAACAGAAAAAAATTCTCAAAAGCGATGATACTGATTTGTCCCACCATGACAGAAGAAGAGTGGAAGAGTATCGCCAACAAAGAGAAAAGTGTGAGACATTGAGGGGAAAGAGAAGAATGGCATTGTGTTTAAGAATGGAAGCAAGTCTAGTTCGGTAGAGCATAAGATTCATAATAGATACATGACAGATGGCGAGAACCTAAACATTTGAGCTGAAGACTGTGTTGAAGAGTTTGGAAGAACCATAGAAATTTTCCCTTGGGAGAGCAACCTGATTAGAGTTTTCCTTTGGAAAGATAACCCCTGTGGCAGTGTGGAGGGTGACCTGCCATGAGAAGACATAAGAGACAGAGAAGGAGACAGCTATGGAAGGGATAGCAGAAATGGGAAAAAGAGGATGAGTTCATGCAGTGCTCCTGAAATATAACTACAAAATTTAGTAATAAGAAGGGTAACAAGAGAAGGGAAAAATGAGTCAAGGATTTATTTATCTATTAATCATATATTTATTAAGCACCTGCAATTTGCCTGGTACTTTGCCAAGTGTTGGATGGTATCCAACACTTGATTACAAGAAACAAAGTTCTGTAATCATGTGGCTCAGAGAAGAAATGGAATGATCCCAAGTTTATAGCTTAGATTGATTAGATGTAGACACTGTCAATTGTGCTTGGAAATATAGGGATAGGTAAGATCTTAAGGACAATGGGATTTGGGATTTGGTTTTATACCTGGTATAAATCAACTGTCTGAAGGCCATAAGGGTGGAGATGACTAGGAGATCAGGTCTGGAAAAAAGAATGTATTTGATGCTGTACATTTGAGAACCATGGGTTAGATATTAGTCATAGGAGTAAATTAAATTATCTAAGGAGAGTGAATAGAAGAGAAGAGAGTAGAAGATGGAACCCTGGGGAATGGCATCAAGTCTGGTTAGAGGAAAGGAGTCTAACATATGAGACTTCAAATGTGGTCAGGGAATTCAGAGGACAGCCATGGAGAAGGGAAGGAAGAAAAAAGAACAACAGAGAGTAGCCATGCGTGTTAGGTTCACCAAAATCTTCTGTTATCTTTGCTTCTGTGTAAGAGTTATCTCACTGGCCATGAATTATACCAACATCCAGAGATAGTTCTTTTCTCCTAAGGGATTTAGATGGATTCCATTTTATACATCTTCTTCTTTCACTATAAATAATTCTCTACTAGGAGGGGAGTACATATAACTAAAAAATGAAGAAAAGAAAGCCGGTCTAGAAGTTTCCCAGACAATTTTCCTAGTACACGTGGTTAATTCTTACTTATACACAGTAGTAAAGCGCAATGGCACAGATTTAGACATGAGGAAATACCTGAATTGCCTAAGATTTTGATCTGAAGAGATAGTCAGTTGTAGCTTTGGAAATCTTGAAGCTAATTTCTCTTATTTCAGATTTATCAGTAATTTCCATCCAATGCGTATTCAGATGAATGTATTCTATACCAATATAGAATGTTAAATTATCTGTGTATCTCCTCTAAGCTATTATCCTTTGGGATGATCATGGCCACCTTTAAGTGTAATTATTTGGATGTTGCTGGAGCCCCCAAACAAGAGATAAAAGGAAGATGTGCACATAGCTTGTGTTTTGTTTAAAATATGGTAGAACTGCTTCAAAAGACAAGTAGGTATTTTTCCAATGACCTATATACCATGACTACATTTCTGAATGTCCAAGAAGAACATGGTTTGAAAGAAGACATTTGGGTAATTTTTATTATCTCAAGAATACTAGGAAATGTACTTCAGATACTTAGGATATCTTCAAGGTTTATAGAGACAGGGATGTGGTATTGCAATAGTTAAGAGCACAACAAACTGTGGTAATAGGATACAATATTTAGAACTGAGACTGTCAAGGTTTTGACTTAATGGTGGTTAAGATAAACTAAACCTTTATGTTTGGTTTCGTCATTTCCATATGGGATATGGGAGCAATTACCTGACTCTGGAAGTTCTATCTGTTGCTCAGGTAAATTGGGAATTATTCTAGCTTGTTAAGCTTCTTTGTGCCAGCTGAAACAAATGTGTGTACTTATGGTGCTAAAAGTGAGCCACCAAAGCATCCTTTTCACTATTGGATTCTAGTTTTATGATTGCACCAACTAAGCAAACTCACTTCTCTTTACAGCTTGAGATCCCATGAATGGTTTGGATGTGGTGCCTGGGCATTGGGCCAAACACGGTTACTTTTCTGGATGTATGTGCAGCCTTAGGTGATATTGTCTTGCTATCTGGTTCACTATGCTTGGGTAATAGAAAGAAGGCTGGGATCATTCTAAGCAATCTTCTCTGTGTTTTTGTATGTGCGGCAATAGTCAGGTGGTCATAAAAAGAAGAAACCATGGAATCATGGTAAGTGACCCTACTTGAATGTCAACAGGAAATTGATAATGAAAGCAAATTTCCATTCTTTTTAAATTATAGAAAATGTTTCTGGGAGTAAAATGGTTCCCATTTATCTTAGTTGAAAATAGAAAGTTCTTCTTTAATGGGCACAAATTATGACTTCTTGGAGTGTTATCCTAGTTTCATTTCTCTCACTTTCACTTTCAAAGAAAATACAGTCTTTGGAAGAACTTTCTCATTATTCAGTTATTGGTGCTGCTGATCTCTGAATGTGGGCCCACCTGATTCTCTTAAAGCGATGATGTGACAACATGACCGGAAGGAGCAACTTGTCACTAAATTACACCCACTACTGTCCCAGGTGTGTAATGACTGAACCAGATAAAACACCTCTTAGGAGGAGGGAGAAATGGAAAAGAATTTGAGTGTGAGACTGCACAGGTAGAAATCACCCACAATGGTGCATTTAAATAGAGCAGGAGTGGGCTGAGGTTTTGGTGGCCTAGGTATGGGAGAAAATTCTCGAGTGTTTTTCAAACTAAGAGCCTTAGAATTCTTAAAAAATGATTTTCTCAATTATTATCAGAGACTTGTAGAGAGTCCTAATCTTTCCAGGGTCATCCATGTTTTCCCATTAGCAACACCGGGACTTGTTTGAAGGGCTCTGTTGAAACTGCTGAAAGGATTTGGCCCCAAACTGGTTTTTTTTTTCCTCCCCCATAAAAAGTTTCCTCTGTTAGAAATCTCCGCATGGCACACAGTACTCAGAGATAACACAAGTCAGGTTGAAACTATTCTGTTTAATCAGGAATGAACTAAATGTCAGAGACTCAATGTTCTAGATCAACAATTTCTAGGATTGATACATCTTAATCAAGTAATTAGGTGACTTTTTCGTTAGTGTTTTCCACACCGGAGAGAGGAACAGATTTGCCGCTTTGCTCCGATGGCTGCTAGCAGCAGTGTTGGTTGTTAACAGAGACATTTACACGGAACCACCAGTTGGCAGGGGCTAACACTTTATTACTTGCTATTCCCACATGCTGAGGATTGTGGGAAGGCTGCCAAGCTTTCTGTCTCACGTAGCTCTTCAGTATAATAACAACAACAGCAACAAAAAGACTTGGGGGGAAAAAAAAACAAAAAGAAGAAGAAAAGTGAATAAAAGAAACAAGGGAACGAAGTCCCCACTCCAGACTAGACATGGATGGGGTGAGAGATTTTTCACAGTGCTTCTCTTTCACGTTCTTCTTCCTCCTTCTGCCTCTCACTCGTCGTCCTCTCTCGCCCTCCCTCTCTGCCCTTCCATTCTAAAAGCATTTTAAATGGAGGCTGATGCTTCCCAAATGTTAAAGTCCTTTGAAGTCACCCCGGAGGCCTGTTAAAATGCAGATTCTTCATGCTGCAGGTGGGGCCTGAGGGTCTTCATTTCCAACAGGCTAATATGTGCATAAGTATTAATATTCCATTCTTACAAGACAGTGGAAATGCTATGCAGACAAACTATTTTCAACCTCCTGGTATACACACATTCTACCAAAACTTTCTACCTTTGATTTACTGATGAGTAAGGAATGATTTAAAGAAAGAAAGAAAGAAAGAAAGAAAGAAAGAAAGAAAGAAAGAAAGAAAGAAAGAAAGAACTATGAGTTGCTTTATCTTTCCTTATCCCTGTATATCATCATTTTTCAGCACAAGTGGTTTATTAATACAGCAAAGTAACATGTAGGAAAGGACTAGATAGGCTTCCTTATTCATTCATGTTTCTTAGCATGCCTGTTCCTTTTTTGTGCGTCGGAAGCTAGTTCTGGTTGGAACAGAAGGTGAGGTCTCTTGGAGTCAGTGTTTTCCACACGCTGTCTCACTCAGTTGTAGATGTAACATGTTTACCCTTTACTTACTCTGGGTCTAGCTGAACTCTCCTGCATCATGGTTCCACCAGAATTCTGTGCCAATGGGACATCATGGATGCTGTAGGTGAATGGAGAAGCAGAGTGGACATGAATGTTGTGCACATTTCTTCTATTTATATGAGCAATAGGTTGAATGTTTTTGTTCCCCCCAAATTTCTATGATAAAACCCTAATCCCAATGTGTTCATATTTGGAGGTGGGGCTTTAGGGAGGTAATTAGTTCATGAGCATAGAGCCTCCATGAATGAGGTTAGTGCTCTTATAAAAACAGGCCAGAGAGCTAGTTTGCTTCCTTTCTACCATGTAAGGATACAAGGATGAGACGGTTGTCTGCAAGCTATAACAGAGTCTTCACTAGAACCCGACCATGCTGGAACACTGCTCTCAGACTTCCAGCTTCCAGAACTATGATTATTAAATTTTTGTGTTGAATCGAGCCAGATTATGGTAATTTGTTATAGCAGTTCAAATTTACAAAGAAAATATGCATTTTCTATTATCCCAATGCATTTTACTCATGAAACACAAGTTCAAAGAATTTCAAGATACCAAGAGTAGAGCATTAAACTAATTGTGAGGCACCAGGCAATGCACAGGTCACATGTGCATGAATTTGGGACAGGAAACAAATCAAGGCAGTGATTGGTACAAAAAGTCAAGAAAAGAATCTAATAACCATAAATGCACAATAGGGTCATAATGGAAACATTATTAATTTAATGTTGAGCCTCTGAGCTCAGGGAGACTCTACCAAATTAAGAAAAAGGTTGATCTCAAAGTTGGGAGTTGTATAAGCTATGAGGTTTGGAAATATGTTGCATAACTGGATAATCTGATGTACCTTGTTAATGGCTTTCACTCCATAAAAATTTGTGTAATATTTTTCTTTCATTGTAGAATGAGAGTTGAAAGTTTTATCTGATTTTACAGATAAAAAAACCAAGATCCAGTGTGATGAAGTGATTTGACCTAGGTCACAAACCTTGTTAGTAACCGAGCCAGGATTAGCCTAAATTTCAAGAATCCTTTTAAGTCCCCCATGCTAGTTCCTTCCACACCTCATTAAGATGGCAAGAGGGCCCTACTACAATGCTGAAATATGATCCATGGCTGTAAAAACAATGAGGAGAAAGTACAGAGAAGTTGTACTGCTTCTTCCTATCCAAATACAACTGTATCTAACTTTACTGTGCTTTGCTTTACTGCATTTATTTATTTATTTTACAAATTGAAGGCTTGCGTCAACCCTGAATGAAGCAAGTCAATTGGCACCATTCTTCCAATACCTTGTGCTCACTTCCTATCTCTGTGTCATGATATTTCAAACATTTTCATTATTTTATCTCTTGTGGTGATCTGTGATCAGTGATCTTTGATATTGCCATTGTAGTTGTTTTGAGGTGCCAGGAAACTTAATAGATAAATGTTACGTGTGTTCTAACTGCTCCACTGACTAGCTGTCCCCCCACCTCTCTCCTTCTCCATGGGCTTTCCTATTCCCAGAGATACAACAATATTGAAATCAGGCAATTAATCACCCTACAATAACCTCTAAGCATTCAACTGAAAGGAGAAGTCCCATGTCTCTCACTTTAAATCAAAAGCTAGCAATGATTAAGCTTAGTGAGAAAGGCATGCTGAAAGCTGAAATAGGCCCAAAGCTAGGCCTCTTACACCAGTTAGGCAAGTTGTGAATATAAAGAAAAAAATATTGAAAGAAATTAATTACACTATTTTAGTGAACATAGTGAACATATAAATGATAAGAAAGCAAAACAGTCATACTGCTGACACGGAGGAAGTTGGAGAGTTGTGTATAGAAGATCAAATCAGCCACAACATTCTCTTAGTCCAAAGTCTTATCCAAAACAAGGCCTTAACTCTCTTCAGTTCTGTGAAGGCTGAGAGAGGTGAGGAAGCTGCAGAAGAAAAATTTGAAGCTAACAGAAGTTGGTTTGTGAGGTTTAAGAAAAGAAGCTGCACCCATAACATAAAGGGGTAAGGTGAAGCAGCAAGTGTTGATGAACAGGCTGAAGTAAATTATCCAGATCAAGCTAAGATAATTAACAAAGGTGGCTGCACTGAACAAAGATTTTTCAACATAGATTAAACAGTCTTCTCTTGGAAGAAGACACCATCTAGGACTTTCATAGCTAGAGAAAAGAAGCCAATGCATGGCTTCAAATGACAGGCTGACTCTCTTGTTAGGGACTAATGCAGCTGGTGACTCCAAGTTGACGCCAATGCTCGTTTACCATTCCAAAAATCCTGGGGCCCTTAAAAAATTAAGCTAGTAATCAGTTTACTCTGTCTGTGCTCTATAAATGGAACAACAAAGTCTGGATGACAGTGCATCTGTTTATAACACAGTTACTAAATATTTTAAGCCCACTGTGGAGACCTAATACTTGGAAAAAAAGTATTTCTTTCCAAATATTTTTGCTCATTGAGAACACATGTAAGTCGCCCAAGAGCTCTGATGGAGATGCACAAAGAGATTAATGTTGTTTTCATGCTGGCTAACACAATACCCACATTCTACAGCCCATGGATGAAGGAGTAATTTCAACTCTCAAGACTTATTAATTAAGAAATGCATTTCATAAAACTATAGCTGCTATAGATTGTGATTTCTCTGACAGATCTGAGGATAATAAACTGAAAACCTTCTGGAAAGGAGTCACCATACTAGATACCACTATGAACACTTGTGATTCACGGGAGGAGTTCAAAATATCAACATGAGCAGGAGTTTAGAAGAAGTTGATCCCAACCCTCATGGATGTCTTTGAGAGTCTCCAGACTTCAGTGGAGGTAGTAACTGAAGATTGGTGGAAATAGCAAGAGGATGAGAATTACGAAAGTGTAGCTCAAAGTTATGACTGAATTGCTGTAATCTCACAATAATACTTGAACAGAGGAGGAGTGGCTTCTTTTAGATGAGCAAAGAAAGTGGTTTCTACTCCCAATGGATGGAATCTATTCCTGGTGAAGATTCAGTGAACACTGTTGAAATGACAACAAAGGATTTAGCGTATAACAGAAACCTAGTTGACAAAGCAGCAGCAGGGTGTGAGAGGATGGACTCCAATTTTGAAACAAGTTCTACTGTGGGTAAAGTGCTATCAAAGAGCATCACATACTACAGAGAAATATTTTGGGAAAAGAGGAGTTGATTGAGGAAGCAAACTTCATTGTTATCTCATTTTAAGAAATTGCCACAACACCCCAACTTTCAGCAACCACCACCTTGATTAGTCAGCAGCTACCAGCATCAAGGGAAGACTCTTCACTAGCAAAAAGATTACTACTTGTTGAAGGCTCAGATGATTGCTAGCATTTTTTTAAGCACTATCATATTTTTAATTAAGAAATGTACATTGTTTTTTTAGATATAACTTTGTTGTACGCTTAGTAGACTACATATAATGTAAAGATAACTTTTACATGCACAGGGAAACCAAAAATTTGTGTTACTCACTTAATGGTAGTGGTCTGGAACTAAATCTGGAATATCTCCAAGGTATACCTGTGCCGTAAAAAGAATCTCCTCTCTTTCTCTGACTTTGGTGAAATAGTTTTAGAGGAAGTGTTTTCCCTGTAAGACTGCGGCAGGGGTGAGTTGAATCAGAGGCTGACATTCGGAAGCAGTGATTCATCATGCTTTGCACTGAAGGTATGAGTAAGGCAGAGTCACAGAGTCAAATGTTACGTATGTGGTTGCTGACAGATTAATGTGAAATGAATGACTTTCAGTGGCAATGAAGGAGGGCTCTAATGGCCTTCCAGTTTAAAATATTGTCAGATGAGCTGTCCCCAACACAGTGTCTCTGATTCCTACCTTCCCACTAAAATCCCCATGAGGGCACAGGAAAAGTGAAACAGGAAAAAGAAACTACAACAATAAAAGTGTCAGTCCACTTTTGCCAAATCTGAGAGCAAATTTCATCAGCCAAGATTACTGTGGAGCTTAACAGAGAATGCAACAAACTCATCCTTTCTTCAGATACCAAGAAAAACTACCAACCTGAAATAGTAGACCACTGGTTCAGAGACTTTGTGTTTGTGTCACTGAAAGTAACTTGCTAGCTTCATGAATGCTGCACTTGAAGCAACCAGACTACTCATATTGGCTACTCAACCTCCCTTGTGCCTCCTCTTGTATATCCATTTTGAAACTGAAACTCCCAGAATAACAATAGGAAAGGGATTAGCAACTGAGCTGGATGGGAAATAGGATTAGTTTTAGTACATTGTGTCCTGAGAGGTATGGTTCCAAGGAGCAGACCCAAATTGATTAGGATATTAAAAAAAAGAACATTGATAGCTAAAAGTTTGTCATTTGTGGTTTTTTGTTGTTGTTGTGTATTCAATACATTTAGAGTGTCAAAGAAATAGAGATATTCTGCTAAAATAATTTGGCAGAATAACATGAATTCAATGCTTGCTAGATTATGGAACTTTTACTAGGAAGAGTGCCTACAAATATATCTTCCAAGATCAAGTTGAGAAAAGGAATCTACCAATATCCAAGACATTGAATAAGGTCTAGAGAAAGATACAAATCATTTCTATTAGAAAATATTATTTCTGGCTAGAAATTTCTTCGTTATAAGATGAGTAAAGTAGAAAGATAAAATCCATCAAGTCTGGTGTTATGGGCCAACTGTTTGTGTTCCCACCAAAGTTCATGGGTTGAAATTCTAATCTCCAATGTGATGATATTAGGAGGTGGAGGCCTTTGGGAGGTAATTAGGTTGAAAGGATAGATCCCTCATGAATGTGATTAGTACCTTTATACAAGAGACTCCAGAAAGTGTTCTTGCCTCTTCTACCATGTGGGGACACGGTGAGAAGATGACCATCTCTGAACCAGGAAGCAGCCCCTTACCAGACACTGAATCTGCCAGTGCTTAGTTTCGCACTTCCCACCCTCTAGAACTGTTAGAAATATATGTTTGTTGTTTAAGCTGCCCAATCTACAGTATTTTTATTAGAGCAGCCTGAATTGACTGAGACAACTGATAAAGAAAAAGCATTGAAAATAAAAAGAAAACATAATTACAAAGATTCAAAACAATTACATATATTTGAATGTAAGTTCCTCAAGAAGGCAAAATAAAGTTTTAGAAAACCCCTGGATAGTGTCAGTGGAATGTTCAATGTGAGAGATATAAGAGGAATTGCAATGAACAAAGTAAAGAGGTATTATAATGGGAAAGGAGATGAGTGTGATAAAGAAAAAAGAATCACAAGGACACGATGAACATAATAACAAAAATAAAATCTTTGTCAAAGAGAGACAGGTGCCAAATGAATACTCAGGAAGATTGAATTTTTTGATCCTGAGGACAAACTGGAGAAGCCTTCCAAGAATATAGATAATAAGGCAGATGTTTAGAAAGGAAATGGCAGACATTGAGTAAAAAGAACTTATATCATAACTATAGTATATTGGTAGTCCTGAAAAAGAGAAGAAAAAAAAAAAAAAAAGAGATGCAATACTCAATGATATAACCAAAGAAAATACTTTGAGAAAAAGTGAACAGTGTCTTCTAATCAAAATGTCTTCTTATATTCCAAGCAAAATTAATTTAAAAAAAATAAAATAAAACCCATCCTGGCAAAAATTTGAAATAGAAAAATTAAGAGGAGAATTTTATATGTGTCTTGATAGAAAAATAAATTGGTACTCTAAAAAAAGTTAAAACATGACTGATTTTAGATATGGCTTCTAAAACATTTATGCTTTTAAAAGAATGATTAGAAGGCAATGAAAGACTTCTCAAGAGAATATACAGCGTTTTGAGGAGAAAAGTTTTGGTTAAATAATTTAAGCCATATATTATATTAGTTAAATAATTTCTTTCTCTTGTGAAGGAAATATATATATATATATATACATATATATACACATACATATATATATATACACATACATATATATCTATATCTATATCTATATATATATGTTGTGTGTATAAGTATGTGTTTTCTATAAAAACAAGTCCTTAAAATGTGCTTCCTGGGTTTGCTTACTCTGAATACCTGAGAAATGACCTAAAACATCAAATGAGCACATCATGATATTAAAGAATTGAGTATTTAAGCCAGTTAAGTGTAAAAGTAAGTCTAAATCATTTTTGTAAATGCCTTACATATACTATAATCTAAATGTCAGAAATTAATTATTGAAAGAATGTGTATTCATTCTATATATAAAAATAACATTTAAAATTTTAGATGATGCATCTAAACACTATAAGATGGTAATATAGGAACTAAAAGGATGTTAAATTATTTGCCTATGTAGTGGTATATTAAGTATAAGTTTCACTCTTGCTTTTGATATTCAGAGATAAAAGCATTTCAAAATATTTTTTTAAAAACCACTACAAACTATAAAACTAATTAATACCAACAAACCTCCCCTCAAATTAAAATTAAACTAATATAATCTACATAGAAAAATACTCAAAACCATAAAAAGACAAAAATCCTGAAACCATTAACTCAAGATAGCATAAATATGATGAAATATTACAATTATTAAAAGTAAATTACTTAAAGTATTTTAAAATTTGTGAGATATAGCTTAAAAAGGTGAAAGTTCACAAATTAATGATCTCAGCTTCCACCTCAAGAAACTAAGAAAAAAACCCAACAAATTAAACCCAAAGAAAGGAGAAATAATGGCAATTTCATACAAACTCTTGCAGACAATTGAAAAGGAGGAATACTTCTCAACTCATTTTATGAGGACAGCATTACTCTGCTATCAAAGACAGATAAAGACATTATAAGACAGAAAACCATAGATCAATATCTCTCATGAGTATAGATGCAAAATTTCTAAATAACATTTTACCAAGTTGAATCCAATAATACATAAAAAAGGTAATACATCGTGAGCAAGTAGGGTTTATTGCAGGAATGCAAAGTTACTTTAACATTTGAAAATCAATTACTGAATTTAATTGACCATATTAACAAACAAACAGAAAACATATTATTTCATAGACACAGAAAAAGCATTGGAAATGACAATTAGAATTTGTCACAGAAAAAGACAAAATTGAATATTAATTTCTCATATAAACCTTTCAGCAAAGTAAAGATAAAGGAACTTCCTTAACCCATTAAAAAGCATCGAAAATAAATGTACAACTAATATACTTAATGGTGAAAGATTGAATGCATTTCCTCCAAGATCAGGAACAGACAAGAGTGTTCATGATTATCACTTCTTTTCAACATTGTATTGGAGGTTCTAGCTAGCATAATTAGGCAAGAAAAGGAAACAAAAGAGAGAGGAAGAAATAAAACTATCTTTATTCATAGATGACATAATTGTCTATGTAGAAAATCTAGTGGAATCTATATATAGCTATTAGAACCAATAAGTGAATTTAGCAACCTTGCTGGATATAAGACCAATATACAAAAATCAATTGTATTTCTACATGCTATCAATTGACAATTGGAATTGAATGAGAAAATATTTACAATACCACTTACAGTAGCATCAGGAGGATAAATTTGTTATAAGATTTGCAAGATTTGTACAATACATTCCTGGGAAAAATTAAAGTATACCTTAATATATGGAAAGACATAACTTGTTCATTGATCAGAAGTCTCCACATTTTAAGCTGTCAATTATTCCTACATTGATATATGGTATAAGTGCAACCCTATTAAAATCTCAGAGTTCTTTTTTCATAAAAATTGACATTGACAAGTTGATTCTAAAATTTGTACGAAATGCACAGAATAGAATAGCCAAACACCTTTGAAAAAGAACAAAGCTGTAGGGTTCACTTTACATGATTTCAAAACTTATACTGTTACAGTCATCAAGGCAATGTGATATTATTGTACAGATAGAAAAATGAATCAATGTAGCAAAATAGAGTTCAGAAATTAACTTATACATGTATAGACAAATAATTTTTAGTCATCTAGTTTTTAGCAGAAAACACAAAAGACTATTTTTATGACTTTGAGATAGACAATGATTTTTTAGACAAGGGGAAAAAAGGCAAATTGATAAATTGTAATTTACCTAAATTAAAGTATTCTGATTACCACATATTCCATTAAACATGGAAAGGCAAGACTCAGACTAGGAAAACCTACTTGTAACACATATATTTCACAAAATAATTTAATCTAAAATATATAACTCCTACAAAATAACAATAAAAAAAGCAAACCACCCAATACAAAATTGTCTAAAGATATGAATCTACATTTCTCATAAAAGGACAGTAAATATAAATTATACTCAACATCATTAGTCACAGGGAAAAAACAAATTAAATCTACAACGAGGCCCTATTTTAAACCCATTAGATTAACTAAGAAAGGAAGAAAAAAAAAAGGACTGGCAATATTAAATATTTGCAATGATGTGGAATACATGAAAATTTAATACATTGCTAATAGGAGTGGTCCAGTCATGTTGGAAAAAAATCTGGAAGTTTCTTATAAAGTTAGACATGTACTTACCCTTAACTCAGAAATTTCATTCCTAGATATTTTCCCAAGAAAACTAAAAACATATGCCCACACAACATCTTTTACAAGGTGTTGATAATAGTCTTATTCATAAGAGTCACAAGAGAAAAACAAA